GATGTAATTGCAAATTATGAATTACAAAAGTGCAGTAGAGCACCTGGTTTGATTAATCATTTGATTAAATCGTTCACTTAATCGACCTCTTTTAATTTCCATTTTGATCGACTTCCTGTTTCCGAACTTTCTTAAATTATTATCTATCGAAGAAAGGGAAAACTTTTTCATCAAGGTGAAAGATTACAAAGTTGCCTTTCATCGACGCTAACTGTGAATGAAGGTGAGTGTTAATCATGACCACTGACATATTCATTTAGTTTTGGCACAGGCTCTCTTTGAATCTTTAAAATATCTGTGGGCGGCAAAGGTGGCTCGTAAAATTTCTTAGAATAGTTTAAAATATTCGTGCTTGATGCGCGCAGTTATTAATTAATAATTCCAGGCGGATAACACCACATCGTGACTCTGTACTAGACAGGTCGTTGAATTATTAAAATCACATTCGAGTATCCAAAACTGAAATATGTACGAACTATTCTTGTTGAATTACTAAAAGCGACTTCCTTGACGAATACGAGCTTTTGGCACGGGAATAGGTCGTTTCGGTCGGTTCAATTTAACTGAATTTAAGTAGGATGAATATTTAGTAGTTAATTTGCTTTTATTTACATCAATCTCACTTTTTTGGAAGTATGGTTTGTTAAAACTAACTCTTTATTTTTTTACGAAAATTAAGCCTCTACGTCCGGACGAATGTGTTTCCAACATTAGAATACGAAATACGTTAAAGGTAGTTTAAGGTATCAATTTCCCGATAAACCTGGTTCTTGACAACTTGACATTTGTAAGCAATAATTTACCAGCACTTATACAGACGTATATAAAATATCTAGTTATCTACACTGGTTTATAATGCCTTGTTGAAGCGTCTCGATTTGATTTAGAGGCTACATTCACTGAAAAAATCAAGATGGATGTCTTTTAACATCTCACAAGACATTCATTGTGGTAGGTGTGGAGTGTCGAGAAATCGGGTGAACGATCAAATAATTGTCCCAACTGTATGAATGCGTTACTGAAATGCAAGGCTGCAACAGAAGGACACGTATGTCAGTTCCGACACGTGCGGTACATCTCCAATAATTAATAGTAAACAAATGGCCTAAGGTTATTTAGACAAAACGTCTCTCGCTCTTCAGATACAATAGAACAAATCGAATAAGTATAAGTATAAGTTTATTTTAGCCAAAAGACAAAAAATACATTTTTGTATATGACACGTCAGAATTAACAAACAATAAACAAGTATATAAACTAACTACATTCATACATGTATATTAACATGATCATGGCAATTACAATAACATTTACAACAGAAAATCAATGAAGCATTTGATGTATGCCTGAGATATTCGCTGCATAAACTACGACGAAAATATGGTACAAAAACAATGTTAGGTAATCAAGGCGGATTCGTAAACCACAGGTTCAGGAGTATATCATTTCATCACATGTAGATAACGTTAACCATTTAAAATAATGACGGGACGTGATCAAATTGTTGGTGGAATGGAGAATACACACTTCCTTGGCTTAGGGCCGGGAAACAAAAATATAGGTAATACCACAGCATATCAGTGCTCCTATACTAGTATAAAATGTGATGACTCAATCTGGATTTTTTTTGGGGAAATCTGGATCTCTATAGTAAAAAATCAAAGCGGCTTCATAAAAAACAAGTATATGAATATGTTATTAAATAAAAAATATAAATGCCCGAAAAGAGACTTATTGTTTCGGAAACACATAATAACTTTCGAAATTCTGAAGACGTTTGATCAGTTATTGTTTCATATTCATTTTTTGCAATTATTGTTGTTATTTAAAAATGTTTACATACAATTTTTGGAGTTACTGCATTCTAGTGTGGTTGTCAACTACCCAGTTAAACAAACTGCATTTTTAAATTCAATGTTATCAGCCTTAATTTATTGAATATCGGTTCAGATTAATACTAACTATACACATATATAAAACACCCTCTAAAAAATTCAGAAATACACCATTATGTCAGTTTAAAAAAAAAATTGGCATTACTGACACCAATCGATCGGGTAGTTTCAAAGGTTACACTGGTTTACAGCTAAACATCAGGAAGAAAGAACATAAGGAGACCTAATTAATCTATAGTAATACGTGTTCATGTGAAAGAATTATTTATATGAAATTTCCGTTTTAAAATTGAAACAAATTAAGCCCTCAAGATTGCTACTTCTAAAAACGAAACAAAATCGGGATCTGGAGGTTCTTTATTGTGTTGTAGGCTATGTCTCACACGAAAACATTATTATTAGCCTCTGAGATTGCTAATTCTAAAAGCGAAACACAATCATATCTCGGGATTGCTACTTCTAAAAAAGAAAGCAAAATCGATCTACAGACATTCTGTATTCTGTGTTATGCTATTTCTAAGATCCAAATACATCCAAATACAAGCATCTTTACGGCCTGAGATTGTTGATTCTAAAAATGAAACAAAATTAGACCTCGAGATTGCTACTTCTACAAGTGAAACACAGTCAGTCTCAGAGATTGTTATTTTTAAAAACGAAACGAAATCGGTATCTCGAGATTCTTTATTTTGTTTGGTGCTACTAAACAGAATGAGCTCCTGAGATTGCTACTTCTAAAAACGAAAACAATAGATTCTCAGCCTTCTTTATTGTGTATTATGCTGTTTCTAAAATCAAAACACATTCAGCGCTTGAGATACAAAAAAATAGATTCTCCATATTTTTTACAATGTGTTGTGCTACTTCTAAAACAAACTACAATTAGTCTCCGAGTCTGCTCTTTTTCAAAATGTGGTATGAGATCCTTTATATTGTGCTACGATTTTTTTAAAGCCTAAACGCATTTAGATGAAAAAAATATAAAGGGTGTTTCAAAATAATTTTCATCTAGTTAGCTTAGAAATCGCTTCAACTCCTATTTTTCCCTTGATGAAAATCTGCAGCCATAAGCGACTAGATGAAAATCATTTTGAAACACGTTGTACATATTTTCAATAATATTCATGGCAAACTATGACTGAATAATTGAATTTTATATCCTTGCAAAAATTATAATAATCATTTATTCCGTTTCCGTATTCTATGACTTTCTGATTATAAATATTTTGAAAAAACTATGCGTGCGAACAAAAATCTAAACGCAGGTTCGTAATCAGCAGGAAAAATTACATCAGAAACGTGTATTTTCATTTCACATAATTGCAAAAAGTCGACCAGTGTATCTGTCTAATAAAAATCGACACAGACAAACGACAGACAGACATATGATAAATAGACAACAGATACAAGATGGACAGGCGATAGACAGGCGGAAACGGAAGCCTTATTTTTTGTACTCTAGGGGCCATGAAACGTCGTGAAAACATCTTTAACGTACGTTCGGGAAGGAAAAATGGTCTAAAGCTATTTATATAGAACTTCCCTCACCTCCGAAGTACTCAGTTCAGTGTGTTAGATAAATTATAAAAGTTGATTCGGCAAATTTGATATTTACTTCCGGAGCGAAAGTTTTTCTCGACGTTTCATGACGCCTAGAGTATGAAAAAACACGTCTATTATTTGCCCCTGTTTGTGTCAAATTTTATTAAGCAGATAATCTTCGAAACTACTGGACAGACTGTTGTCAAATTTTGTTAGGTATGTTGGGAATATCGTGTAGATGGTACAACGCTGATAAATTTCCATGGTCATCCGGACCAACAATTTGATGACACTAGCTCAAGATTTTGCGTAGTAGATGCTATTTAAATTTTGTAAACCAATACGTTTCTGTACTTGTGGGTTATGAATCTGCCTTGATTTTTTATCATAATTACTGTAAAAAATGACAAGTACGCGGCGGTTAAGTGAGCTATGTGGTTAATGCGTTCAACTTGAGCCTTACACAAGTGAGTTAGAATTCCATCTATTGTTTATATTTTTTTAACTTATAGGGCTATCATAAAATAAATAAAAAAGCAGAACACTGTATTTATTGGACTATGCTTTAGAGGGAAGGAATTTTTGTCTAAATAACCCTAGACATTTTTGATTTAATTTCTAAAATTTATTGATTCATTTATTATTCATTCATTTTTTTTTAATTTCACTTTCACTTTCAATATAATGCTAAAACTGAGGAGAACTTAATCGCTTTGGTTAGAGCCATCGATCCCGTAACCGTAATCTATGATTTGCACTCCCTATACATATCTATAATAATAATAAATTAGTTTCCACAAAAGGATAACATAATTATATACTTGTCATTAATGAATGTATTGTTAAACCACAGATAAAACAGCCAGTTACACAGTATTTTGAGATGACGTCATCAAATTTTTAGAATGAATGAGTAGATAAATTGTGATATCGATTTATTACATTTACGATAAGTTTAAAATGTTTGCAAAGTTTAAAAATACGGATTCTGTAGTTTCTAAATTAAGTTGTAAATTTTTTTCAAGTTGTTGATTTTTTGTTCCAAAATATAACGACTAATGTAAAAAATAAGTAGTATTTACATACACAAGGTTTACAAATCACAAATATTATTATATACGTTTTAAATAGGATATAATTGACAAAATTTATACACGATATTTTGCAAATACTTACATTTAAAATTTCGTAAGTTGGTGGTGTAGTTTCGGAAATCCTGTGTCTAATAAAATGGCTAATAGAGGAGTACAGAAACGGGAGACATATTGTTTCATATTATAGGAGATACGAAACGTCGAGAAAACATGAAATTTGTTTTTCGTTAAATAGAGCTTAGTGTAACAGTTCGCTCGAGAGGTGTATTTCAACCAAGGAGATACAAAAATACCACTAAAACAATTTCCTATTTTAGTATAAATTTTGATGAAAAAGCTGCGACTTCAAAGACAATTATTTAGAAGGATTAGACATTGTACTAGTAAGTTATGTTATTCATTAGAAACACTTACATATTTACAATATGTTGTTATGTACCTATCCCACAATTTGTGTATTTTTCCATTTCGATCCATGCAGTTTAGACTTAAATATGTACAATTAGATTATATTATCATGTCTTTAACCCGCTTCGTGCATCCCGTGCTCGGTATAAAGTTCTATTTGTATTTATTTATCTGTAATCATTTTCTTTGTAAACCGAGTACATAAAATGTTAGCAACGCATCATTCTAGACACAATTGAAAATTAGACAATTCGATACAGTCCGTTCGGTTCCTTTCAGTTATCCCGTATTTTAGCACACTTATTATAATACCTTTAAGAAGATTTTGTTAATAAATGGTGATATTGGAATCTGGGTTTTTCTGAGACAACTAAAGACAGGAGTTCATAACATACTGGTGTCAGAAGTGGGATAGAGATAAACATATTTCCTGTCCGACAAATACAGCAAGAAGTCCAACTTAATCATCAGAAACTGGTAAGTGGAAATATTCTTTTTGTTGTCCGTTTTGTTGTCTTGTTAACACCGTCCAATCCTTTAATAAAATCAAAATGACTCTTAATTCCGAAACTCAAACCCCTAATGAATCGTACAGTCTTTCCGACATTCGTGCTTTACTTCCAGAAACATTTTCGGGCGATCGTAATGACCTTTATGATTTTCTCCAAAATTGCGAAAATGCCCATAGTTTATGTCAGTCTCCACAACAAAAGAAATTAATTTTAGCTTTTATTGTATCCAAATTAAGGGGATCAGCTCGTGCACAAATTCGGGAAAAAGAATTTAATACATGGGATGAACTGAAAGAAGTTCTTATCAATGCATTTTCAGACGGTAAAGATTTTAGTCAACTTATGGAAGAACTAAATACTATCAGTCAACTTAAACATGAATCTGTTATCAAATTCTATACTAGATTAGATCAGATGCAAACGCGAATACTCAATTTAATCTCTCTTAAACACAGTACTCACATAATGGGTAGAAACGAAACAATTCGCGACATTTCTTTGCAACGTTTTGTTCTGCATACAGTGGAAGAAATTTCTACAGCCTTGAGACGTTCCAAACCTAAAACTCTTTCAGAGGCTTTAACTGAAGCTCTGTTGGAAGAAAAATATCTTCTAGCTAAGCGCTCTGATAACGTATCAAAAAATTATCACAAAAGTTGTAGTTATTGTCATAAAACAAGTCACTTTGTAAAAGATTGCCGTCAGAGGTTAAAAAATACTTCTAATCATGTTAACTTCAATAATGATCAAAGTAAATCAAATAATTTCAATCAAAGTAAATCAAATAATTTCAATCAAAGCAAACTATCAAAATTCTGTAATTATTGTAAGAAACCGGGACATTTAATTCAGGAGTGTAGGAAAAGAGAATATAATAATCGGCAGAGAAATCAGTCAAATCGTAATATTTCCCAACCGCAAAATAATGCTGCATCTTCATCTCAGGAGGTTCATTTAAACTTTCAAAGATCCCAGGTGATTGACCGTGCCAGTGGATCATCTATAAAATCAACATATGACATTCAAAATTGCATTAATTCTAAAAATCAAGTCTCCTTACATCCGCTAACAAACAACAGTTCATTATACTCCAGTTCAAATACTGATACGCGATTACAAGAATCTCCCATTATTTCCAGTCGTCGAGTTATCGACATTCAGTTATCAAAAAATGACAATGTTTCTTATATAATTCTTCCGCATGAAGGCAAACAGGGTATTGTTTATTTCAAATTCCTAATTGATACTGGTGCAAATATTTCTTTGATAAAAACTCAGAAACTTAAACAAACCAATCTAACATATAACCCTAATGACACAGTGATTTTGAACGGTCTTAGCATAAATTCTCCTGTCGAAACTTTGGGCACTGTTACTCTAATACCTAGAATAAACGATCATCAACTCGATATTAATTTTCATATTGTGAAAGAAGACACTACTAATGTACCATTCGATGGACTAATTGGTAATGATTATCTTCTCACCCAACAAAAAGCCAACATTGACTTTGATAATCTTAAGCTAACTATTAAAGACCTTCCATTTCCAATAAACATAAATTGCAACTCAAACCCAAATGATGAATCATGCTACTATTTATCTCCGCGTTCAGAAACTTTAATAAAAGTAGGTATTTTGAATAAAAATATTTCCGAGGGTGTAACTCCCGAAATTCCTATCTGCGAAGGAGTCCTTCTCGCTAAAGCTATTTTAAAAGTAAATACTGATAAAACCGCTTATACGACTATTCTAAATACTTCCGATAAGAAAATAAAAATCGATTATATTAATTTATATTTAGAAGATATACCTTTCGCTAAGTGTCTGTCACTTAACACCTCAACTGAATTTGACAATGTGTCAACTAATAGGCTTGACCTTCTTCACAGCAATTTGCGACTAGAACACTTAAATTTGGAAGAAAAAGAATCTCTTTTAAGCCTATGCCAGTCCTATAATGATGTATTTCATCTACCTGGTGATAGTTTAAGTCACACAACAACTTTATATCACGAAATCAAAGTTACTGATCCTACTCCGGTATCGTCCAAAATTTATCGATTTCCAAAAATCCATGAGTCAGAAGTTGATAATCAAGTGCAAAAGATGCTTCAACAAAAAATTATACGACCTTCTTTAAGTCCATATAATTCTCCGCTTTGGGTTATTGAAAAAAAACAAGATTCCTCTGGTAAACGTAAATGGCGAGTAGTTATTGATTACAGAAAACTAAACAATGTAACAGTAGGTGATTCTTATCCTTTGCCACAAATAGATTTCATACTTGATCAATTAGGTCACAGTAAATATTTTACCACATTAGATCTAGCTTCTGGTTTCAATCAAATTTTAGTACACCCTAAAGATATCGAAAAGACCGCTTTCTCAACGCCAAATGGTCATTTCGAATACTTGCGTATGCCTTTCGGTTTAAAAAATGCACCTGCTACTTTTAGTAGATTAATGAATGCAGTACTGAGTGGCTTGCAAGGTACTCAATGTTTTACTTACATGGATGATGTGATTATATATGCTTCATCATTACAAGAACATCAGACTAAATTAAAAAACGTTTTTGATCGACTACGTTTGAATAACTTAAAACTGCAACCAGACAAGTGCGAGTTCCTACACAAGGAAATTTCTTATTTGGGTCATGTTATTACTGAAAACGGAGTTAAACCTAACCCCGAAAAAATTTGCGCCATTTCAGACTATCCAAGGCCAACAAATACTAAAACTATCAAACAGTTCTTAGGCTTATTAGGATACTATAGAAAATTCATTAAAAACTTTGCTGCCATTGCTAAACCTTTAACATCACTTTTAAAGAAAGACATTGCTTTCGTTTGGGGACCGGAACAAGAACTCTCCTTTACAACTTTCAAACAGGTATTAACTAATGAACCGATATTGCAATATCCAGATTTTTCAAAATCTTTTACCCTTACTACGGATTCATCGAACTTTGCTATAGGAGCCGTTTTATCTCAAGGTGACCGCGATCTACCTGTAGCTTATACTTCTCGTACTTTAAATAAGGCGGAATGTAATTATAACACCACTGAAAAAGAGCTATTAGCCATTGTGTACGCTGTTAAACATTTTCGTCCATACCTGTATGGTCAGAAATTTAAAATTGTGACAGATCATCGTCCTCTAACGTGGTTATTTAATTGTCGCGATCCTAGTTCACGTTTAATTCGATGGCGTCTTTTGTTAAACGAATACGAATATGAGATCTGTTATAAACCGGGTAAAATAAATTCCAACGCCGATGCTCTTTCGCGAAACCCCATATTAACCACTTGCGATAGTAGACCATTTCACCCTTCTTATGACGATTTTGTCCGATTTCATTACGAAAACCAAGAAATGATAACTGTAGATTCAGTAAAAGAAAACCCTCTTGATAACTCCCCTAACGCACTTTTAATTTCAAAGGATTTAAACGAACAAAATCTCTATTATGAAACGCTGAACAAATTGTACGATTTCAAATCAATTCCCCCAGAAATTAACATATATGATGTTATACCTTTGACTAATGCTAATAAACAGAAAACATACCTGCTAGTAACACACTTAAATTATTTTGATGTTCCCTCATATAAAGAATTATTTTATTCCTTACTTAATCTGAAAAAACAATTATTAAAAGATAACGTCCAAAAGATTCACTTCAAAAATCCATTGTGTTATAATAAGAAATTTAAATCTGATATGATAAATGAATTAATACATTTTATATTCAATTGCACAGACATTAAAGTCGTCCTCGTTAATAATGAAAAAATTACTCCCTCAAAAGATGAAATCCAACATATATTAGAGGAAAATCATGCAACTACTGCGTCAGGTCATAATTTTATACATTCTCGTAAGAGACGTGGAATTGTCAATGGAGTGTCAACCGGATTAAAATGGTTATTTGGAATACCTGATGCTGATGATGCCGAATTCTATTCTGACTCTATAAAATCCTTATTAAGCCAGAACCGTGACACTCAGTTACTAATGCAAAAACAAATTCATATTATTTCCTCAGCTATAACAAATTATAATAACTCAGTAAGTTCCTTTAAAAATTATGAAATGAGATTAAATGAAAATATCAATCGCTTTAATAATTTTAGCAAAGTTGTTTCTAAAAAACTAAACCAAGTAACGGTTGTCGAAGACATTATTACACATTTAAATTTATTGACACAGCTAATAACTGAATTGAATGAAGAATATGATGTACTAATTTCTTCAATCTTATTTGCTAAGCAAAACGTTTTACATCCGTCTATTATTAACCCGAAAGAACTTCAAACACAACTCGCATCGATTACATTGAGATCGTCTTTGCAATTTCCTATTCCAATTGATGACTATAGATCTTTATATAAATATTTTTCACTTTGTCAAGTTTCAGTCTTATTTGATGGTGACAACTTAATATTTGTAATTCAAATTCCTCTGGTTCACGAACAGACTTTTATACTTTACAAATTAATTCCTCTTCCTATTCCTACGGTAGAAAAAAACATATTTTCCTATATTGATCCACAAAACACCTATTTATTAATGAGTGTTACCAAGACGCATTATGGTCGTTTGAAGGATATTTCTGCATGCCTTAAATTGTCTGAATCCGAGTGGATGTGTCCACAACCCGTTATCTACTTGACTTCTCAACGTCCTGTCTGTGATGTTCGCCTGCGAACGGAAAATCTTAACTTTATTCCAGACGATTGTTCTACGAAAACAATGAAAGCCGAAGTCGAAATTTGGCATACACTACGGTCCAATCAATGGTTGTATGTTCTTTCGTCCGTCACCCCAGCCACGATTTCCTGCGACCCGAAGGATGATCAGATTATCGATATTAATTTTCAAGGAACTGGTATTTTCACACTCCGACCCAAATGTAAATGTTACACAATGTCAACCAGCCTCATCGCAAGTTACAACGTGACTAAGAATTTTACGAACTTTATTCCTTCAGTTGACATTAGTAGCGATGACTGTTGTATCAAGGAACAACAAATTTTGAAAGCAGTCGAGATGAAACCTCTGGAATTAAATAATCTGAATTTGGATGAACTTCGTCACAGCAAGCACCAACTTGACAAGTTTGAAGAAGAGCTTCGTGCCGAAATAAACAAACCATTCCCATGGGGACATCGGACTTTTTGGGGTTCCCTAATTGGCGTTATAACTGTTATAACTGTTCTACTCATCTTTTGTTGTTGTTGTTGTAGGTACTGTTTTGACTGTACCTGGTTGCCGTATATTGGTAAACTCATTCCCAAGCGCTCGAGTTGCTTCATCGAGTACTGTTACAACAGCAAGAATCACATAACCAACAGTGTGATTTGCGTTCCTGAGTCTCGTCGCAACAACACCACCGATGATGATGATATCATGTTGCCACTCAAAGTTTTGTCAAAATCGTCATCCAATGAGACGTCTACTTTAGAAACTGTCGAGGAAACACCGGCGGTTTCCAATCCGTATAATCTACGATCTCGGAAATCATTGAGTCGCGAGAATCTTTCCAAGTAATCCTTCGTATGTAAATTTGTACCTATATATTTGTTAACTTTCCTTTTTGATAATGTTTCAATCTATTTTTGTAATAATTTTGTCACTGACGTTCATTTTAAAAGAGGGGAAGAGTGTTATGTACCTATCCCACAATTTGTGTATTTTTCCATTTCGATCCATGCAGTTTAGACTTAAATATGTACAATTAGATTATATTATCATGTCTTTAACCCGCTTCGTGCATCCCGTGCTCGGTATAAAGTTCTATTTGTATTTATTTATCTGTAATCATTTTCTTTGTAAACCGAGTACATAAAATGTTAGCAACGCATCATTCTAGACACAATTGAAAATTAGACAATTCGATACAGTCCGTTCGGTTCCTTTCAGTTATCCCGTATTTTAGCACACTTATTATAATACCTTTAAGAAGATTTTGTTAATAAATGGTGATATTGGAATCTGGGTTTTTCTGAGACAACTAAAGACAGGAGTTCATAACAATGTGATAGATGTAATATAACTTTACAAAACAACAGAGTAATATAATATTACAAACTATAGATAGTTAGTACTATAACAGCAATGAGGATGTAAATTTTACCTGTAAGTAAACAGGTTAATTAAAAAAAAAGTTAAAAAAAGTAGAAAAAATATCGAATAATTTGTATAATCAGTACGTAATTGACGACAGTGGAAAGAAAAAAAACTGCAGCATATAACTACAGGGAATGAAATATAAAAAAACAATGAATAACTGTTATGCATAGGATGACAAGAACTTCTATGATTACGAAAATGCACGGCACAAGAATAATAAAATGGTCACGAAAGTTTTAAATTTAAAATATGTGTTTAGGCCAAACTTCCGACTTGTACTGTGTTATATAGTAATATTTGACATAAAACAGTAAAGTGTGATACAATCATTCATTAAATTTATGAAAAAGTTAACACATGAATTTGAAATTGAAAAGTTTTAGCTTCAAATTTCAAAGGAGCTTACAAATGCTTGTCCGCTGCGAAGATAGATTATTTAAAATTAGACATTATCCTATGCACTTAGCGAACGCCTTTTAATATTATATTAATATTTTGATCAGAAGATTCAAAATGAATTCCGGATACCAACAACAGTTGTAAAAAGTTTAGATAAGATACTTAATTCGGAATTTCTTTTATATCTATCTATTTTGATTTCTTGACTACTGAAACCAAATATATTCCTTTTAAGATAAAAAAAACCATCTGAAAAGTGCAAACGCTGCCAACAAAACTTTACTTAATACTACTGATAATAATCATGTTAGAAAACACGTTCAAAGTGTGGATACCAGTATTTGAAGACACGGTTGCAACTTTGTAGCAAAACTGCCATTCTCAGCACATTGTTTGCCGACTTTATGAGAAACCAGCGGCAATAAAATACATAACACATTAATTAAATCGTAAAATGAAAAAAGAACGAGAACGTTCTGCTGGTTGTACAATTAACGCCACGGCTAAAAATAAATAATTACGACCTCTGTGCAAATACGGCGTTCTTCGACCGCTAATTGAAAGTTCACTGGAATAATTACTGAAGCATCAAACACGAGCTTTGGCGTCGAAAGCTCCGTCCCTTTGATATTTAATCATAACCAATATTTAAATGGATCGATTTTTGAGATATTCGCCGTGAAAGCAAATATTTGCGTCTCGAAGTGAAGTGTTTTATAATGAAGGCTGGGGCTTTCTTCGGGGGCGGAAGTCGCGTGTCTCGTGGAAGGCGGCGGAAAACTGGTAGCGAGAAAGATCGACGGCAGTCGGAGGCGATGCGGCAACCTACCTTACGTGTTTAATTGTTACTTGTTAATTGCGATATAACGTAATTGGTTTGCGAGTTATTTGGCGGATAAAAGTGGCGTGACTGCGATGTCAGGTGGTAACGTTTCTGTTATGTGTCCAATTCAGTAGCGTGGTGTGTGCTTCTTTTTTTATGCATAAAAAAGATAGAGTCTGCACGCGAGTCGCAAAATGTTAAATTAATAAATGGCGGATCGTGAATTTAAATTAGAGTTTCAACAAGCGGCTAGGATTTAATATGTTTAGCTTTTTGTTCGAATGGTAAACTCGAAACGAAAATGCAATCACATTGTTCGTGATTTAGAAATTCAGTTGAAACAAAAAAAAGGACTAGATTTCATTCATTTCATCAAAATTGGTTGTAGCAAAAAGGACAAAGACGATTTTGTGCAACGTATTTACTACTAATTATTGCTTTTTAAATGTTAATTTGATCTTTTTTCGATAATGTAATTTTTTATTTAAATTTTTTAAAAACCTTTCATAACAATGTATTCACTATTTCCAATCATTAAATGGGAGTATTGTTATTTCTAGAATATTTTGTAAATTATTTTGAAACAGCACTTAAATCAATCTGTTACCCTGGCATTTTTAATTCAGTTTATATACCCCCAGTTCTACCATTTTTACAATGATTGGGTACTAGTATAATTTTTTAATAAAATGTCCTACGCCAGGATTATGACAGGTAAGAGTATTGTCAAGGTTAGCTACGATTTTGTGATTTTTAGTATTTTTATTTTGAGAATATAATTCATGTATCACATGACCTCATTTCTTCCAATAGAATTTGTTCATGCCCTTAGTTACATGTCTATCACAGCGATAATAATTTTATTGCCTTATTGTGGTCTGTTGCTACCTAAATTTAAAAACTGTCAAACTGACAAATTTTAGAATTTCATAAATTTTTTTGTCTTTTATGGCTTGCCAACGTTGCGGGCAAGCTCAAAACAACGAAATCAATTCTATTATCAAAAAATGTGATCATTTATTATATTCTCATGTTGAATATAACTCGTGATATGATTAATAATCGAAGATATGGCTCGTGAAACCGAAGCAGCACATTCAACTCGTGCTTCGCACTCGTTGAATCTGCAGCTCGGTTTCACTCGAAATATTATCGATAATAATCATATCACTTGTTATATTATAATTGAGAATATAATTCATGAATCACATGACCCCATTTCTTCCAATAGAATTTGTTCATGCCCTTAGTTACATGTCTTATCACAGCGGTAATAATTTTATTGCCTTATTGTGGTCTGTTGCTACCTAAATTTAAAAACTGTCAAACTGACAAATTTTAGAATTTCATAAATTTTTTTGTCTTTTATGGCTTGCCAACGTTGCGGGCAAGCTCAAAACAACGAAATCAATTCTATTATCAAAAAATGTGATCATTTATTATATTCTCATGTTGAATATAACTCGTGATATGATTAATAATCGAAGATATGGCTCGTGAAACCGAAGCAGCACATTCAACTCGTGCTTCGCACTCGTTGAATCTGCAGCTCGGTTTCACTCGAAATATTATCGATAATAATCATATCACTTGTTATATTATAATTGAGAATATAATTCATGAATCACATGACCCCATTTCTTCCAATAGAATTTGTTCATGCCCTTAGTTACATGTCTTATCACAGCGGTAATAATTTTATTGCCTTATTGTGGTCTGTTGCTACCTAAATTTAAAAACTGTCAAATTTGACAAATTTTAGAATTTCATAATTTTTTTTTCTATTATGGCTTGCCAACGTTGGGGGCAAGCTCAAAACGACGAAATCAATTCTGTTATCAAAAAATGTGTTCATTCATTATATTCTCATGTCGAATATAACTCGTGATATGATTAATAATCGAAGATATGGCTCGTGAAACCGAAGCAGCACATTCAACTCGTGCTTCGCACTCGTTGAATCTGCAGCTCGGTTTCACTCGAAATATTTTCGATAATAATCATATCACTTGTTATATTATAACTGACAATTTATTTTACCATGTTGGGGAAAAATAAGATAATGCTGGCATTAGCTTTCTAATTTTAGAAATAAATGCACTATTTAAATATGGAACATTTGACTACTAGTGCTATTTAAAAAAATCAAGTTAACCCTGCGTCTCAAAAACAAATGAATTATGAAATTTGAAAAAATTGCAGAAAATAGAACTTGAGTATTCGTAAGGACAGCCCAAATTTGAAAAAAATTCAATAACCGTTCACGCGATATTCAACTGCTTCCATACTTTTTAGCGACCCTGTATAATAGATAAATCATGCTTATTGTATAAGCATTCATAAAAAATATAAAGTGCATTATCAATTAAAAAATTGGTCCAAGTTTATTTCCACACAATTTTCCTCGCGCTTGAAACATAAGTCTTAGAAATTCCACTTCTCTGAAAAAGTATAAAATTAGAATGTGGATTAAACAACAAACAAATATAGTAACAATACTAATAATAAATAAAATCAAAATAAAATTCGTAAACCAGTACAGGAGTATATTTTTTCATACAAAATCGGTAACGTGAATTATGCAATATATTGGGCTACGTCATCGAATCGTTGGTAAGGGTGACTGGCAAAATTTTGGTTAGTGTTTTACCATCTGCATGGTATTTCTAACACACATACAAAATTTGACAACAATAGGTCCAGTAGTTTCGAAGATGATTTGTCTAATAAAAATCCGGACAGGTGGCAGACAGACAGACAGACTTTTTTCGTACTCTAGAGGTCATGAAACGTCAAGAAAAGATGAATGTGGAAAGTCGCCCGATAGTTTCGATTACTAACTATACTTCCTTAGTTTATGTTCGGGAATAAAATTTTTTTAATGCTTGTTTAAATGTATTAAGCAGCCAACTGTGAACATTTTTAGGCATATTATTAAAAAAAGTGATACTCAGCACCAGTTTGTGTATTTAAGAAATAATAATAATAAAATTCATAATTTCGTTAATTTACTTTTTTTTTGAAAAACCCTCGGAGAAGTCAATTTTAGTTTTTAAAATGACACTTTTTGACGTAAAGATGAATTTTTTGTAACCAACCGTTTTTGCACAGTGGCTTCAACAACGAATAATTTGATTTATTAGTACAATGCCTGAACACTTTCTGTTCAATGGTATGCTGAATGATATTGTCCAAATTGTTTGGTCTGTTAGTGTAGACTTTAGATTAGAAAATTACCCTCATAAAAAAAAAACGGTTTACGTCGCCCTATCCATCTTCCCTTGAAAATGTTGACAAGTAATTTTCGTAATAATTTGTTCATAATTTGGAAACATTAGAAATACAGTTGGGTGTGTAAAATTTTCTCAAAAATTGTGTAACAGTTCTTCGTGTAGAGGATTATAAGAACATCTTTAAATGAGATTCTGTTAAAATTAATCTATTGATTTTTTGTTTTTTTTTCTGTAACTCTTATAATTGTTTATAAAAATTTGGAGTTCCTCAAAGATTCAATTAAGGTCCATTATTATTTACTCTTTTCATGAGTGAGTTGTTGATTGGTTTTATTTTCAACTTGAAAGTATTTGCGACCAATGACTAACTACTTCATGTTGTATAAACAAACCTAAGATTAATCGGGATAAATCTTTTGTTGCATCGTACACAAGGAAGTTA